GTAACCCCATAACAAACTTTATGTTTTTTTTAAGTCAAATTGATAGGAATTGTTTTATGTTTTCTATGTTCTATACATATATCTATTATATAAATGTTTAGATACAATTGCAAGATAACTCTAATATAATTAAATCCTTTGTATTTTCGTTGCGTAGTTATTATATTATATTAAGTGCAATGATATTTTAAATAGTTACATTTTGTCATAAACTTTGATGCCTTAGTTCTTAAAAGTTAAAATGTATATTTTTCTTTTCTTTTATTATGAAAATTCATTTTTGTTCATTGTCTTATAAAAGATTTTATTTTTATAAATTTGAGTTCATGTTATCCTTTTAAAACAATGGTTTTTATATTAAGAATGCTTTTGAATTTTTTTTATTGATTTAAGATTTGAAGCATTAGATTTACCTATATTAAGGCTATGAATTTTAAGTTAATCTCATTGAATAATTGAAAATTTGCAAATTTTATTGTGAAATTCTTTTTTAGTTGCTTGTAAGCCTTATTTTTCATGATATTATTCATAATTATGACATTTTTTTTATGCATTAACTGACTTTCATAACTTTGATATATATAAATTTGTTAAGACAAATTTTACATCTTAAATTAATCAAATAAAATATTTAGAATCGTGCTCCAAAATAAATAAAAAATGATCATTAATTCTAAGAAAAATATTAACTCAAATTTGAATTTGATAGGAGAAAAAACAAATTTCTTAAAAGATAAAAAGTCAAATTAATTTTTTGTATAAATAAAAAAATATTTTAGTATGTGATGATGGTAAAGTTGAATAATATTAATCATAGTTTAAAAGTCCAACTAAAAATTAGAGGATAATAAATTTGAGTTTGTTATCAGATCAAATGTGTTATCAACCGATGTGAACTGTTATGATACAACCCTTTTTTCAGATAAGCCAATGAACCGCGCCGCTGTCTAAAATGCGACCCGGATGCGTGCTTCCCCGTGCTTTTTGCTTGCTTTAGGTAGACGTGCTTTTAGTTTTCTATCGTGTTTTGCTTGAATGGGTCGCGCTTTCATTTTTTTCCATCCATCAATGCGCATATCTCATCTCAGTTTTCCATCCTACGATGCATGTGTTTGGTCATCAATGCGCACGTCTCAACTTTCCAATGAAAGTATCAGGCTTTGTTGAGTAAGATCTTTCTTAATGTAGAAAAATAAAATGGAAGCACTTTTGGCCATTAGGGCATCTCCAATAGATCATGCATTGAAGAGTGTAAAAAGTGGTCCTCAGTGTGACACGTCAGTATTCAACGACTCAAATATAAATTTACTCTAATGGTTTAAGAAATTCAACTTTTATAAATTTTTTTTCTAATCATTTTTCATTTTTCTCCCTGCTGCTCTCTTCCTTTCTCCTCCATCTTCCTGCCATCCCTCATTGCGTCGTGCTCACGTTAGCCAACCTTGCCTCGCCAGCCCAGCCTAGCCCTGCCGCGCCAGCCCAACTCCGCCGCCCACTTCTCGGTGCTTTTGTATGACAAGCTGGCCAAGATCACCGCCTCCTTCGACAACCCCAACCTCCATGCGGCATTGCTCGTGTGTCGCGCCTGGTGGGAGGCGCTGCGGCTGCTACAGGAGGCCATGGTGCTGCTTTGGTAGGGGAAGTGCTTCAAGTATGGCCGCTGTGGCGTCCATCGCAACGTCGACAAGGCTCTCGACGCCTTTAATAAAGCCGCTGCGCGCTGCTCCGCCCTTACTGTCAAAGCCCGCGCCTCCGTCGTCAACCCCGCCATCATCAAACCCCGCCTTGCTGATCTCTTCTCCCACCAAAATCTGGTAAGCAACAGTTACTTGTAGAAGTAACTCTCTCTTTTCTTCAAGCAACTCATATTGCACGTAGGAGTGCTCTAATAGGAAGAAACTGTCCCTTGAAACATTTGGGACAAACAACTCCTATTAGAATTGCTCTTATGTGATTCAATATCCAGCCTTCTGAAACACCTGAGCCTTAATTACATTATCGCTGAGACAACTCTTATAATGTGTTAAATGCATGAATTAAGTTATATTTATAGTTAATCTTTAATATACAATTATATTCCTAAATATATATATATATATATATATAAATTCATGTGCTTCAATTTTTTTTGTGTGACTTAAACAATTTGAATAATATTTTTTAATCTAAAATTATGTTAACTTATACGTTTGAATAATCTATAATTTGATTGCTCTTTTAATATGAATAATTTTTTTATATATATTTTTTAAGATATGATATAAATTTCATTAAACTTTATAAATAAGAAATATATATGACAAATATTTTTAATTTTTTTTAATAAAAACTGATCATGCAATTTAATTAATGATCCACTAATTTAACTTTTAAATCACTCATATAGTATCTTAATCAATTTAATGATTAGTTTAATTTTTAAAATATAAATATTTATCTTAACAAAAATTTTATATACTTTATTAGGTTTTAAACTAATCATTATGTATATACCCAAAAAAAGAACTAATCGCTATGTTAAAAGATAGGTTCATTTCTGACCATAATCGCAATGGTCAAATAACTTAAACTACTCATTTATGTTGTAAGAGATCTTCTGGTTGAAATGTGTAATGACACATATAACTGTTGTGTTGTACATATGATGTGTTGACCAAGTTGTGTTGTTCATATGCTATATTGAATTGTGATGAGTTACATTAAGAGTTATTGTTGTGTTGTTCAATTTGAAGAACATGTTATATTGTGTTGAAAAATTGTTAATTGATATTATGTTGAAGCAAGTTTGGTTGTTTATGTTGATAGTATAGTTACTTATACATCTATATTGTTTATATTGATTTCTTTTAAATACTAGTTTATCCTTGCATGTTTTCCATATAATTAAACTATAATGGTCATACTTGAAAAGAAGCATAGCAATGATAGGCTAGAGGTGAAACTTTTGTAGCCATATTAGGGATGGCGATGCAGGTCTTTTGGGTTACCCTAGAGTAGTTAGTTGATAATAGTGTTATTTGATCGACAACTATGACTCTTTTTCATACTATATATTGTAATGATTACTATGTTTAGGGTTTAGGGTTTAGCTATGTTTGTTTTTTCGCAACTAGTTATGAAATATTAAGTATAGAGACTTGATAGATTGTTACAAATAATGTTCTCATTTATTGTCTTAGGAGTTTTGGATTAAGAATATTAAATAAATTTGACTTGGTTAAAATTTGCTTATATTTGAGTTAAGATTTTTTAAGCATTTTTTTTACTTATATATAGGTGAGTATAAATGAATAAAAAAAAAAATAACAGTGATAAAAATAAAAGAGAAAAAAACTTAACAAATAATAAAAATTAAAAGAAAAAAACTAAGAGAATTTTCTTTCAAGTTTCCCATATGAATAGAAAAAAATTGAAAATAAATTAATAAATAAGTTATGTCTCTAATAATTATACATATAAGATATTAGATAATTATGAATGATTATTAAAAGAGGATGAAACATTATTTTTTTTAATATTCAAACGGTATAATGGTCTACTAAAAAGTAGAGCTGTCAAAACGGGCCAGCCTGGCCCGTTTGGCCCGGCCCACCTCAACCCACTTTTTAAGTGGGCCAACCTGGCCCGACCCACCAAATATATTATGCAAATTTTTCTAGCCCGGCCCGGCCCACCACGGGTTGGTGGGCTAAACGGGCCGCCCACCAACCCACCTAATTTTTTAAAAAAATTTATAATTTAAAATAAATTTCATTATAAAATAATATTTAATCTAAAATAAAAATTATTAAACTAAGTATCATGGATACAACATTAAAATTAAATTAATAAGTGTGCAACTTTAAAAAATTAAAATAAAAAATAAAAAATCTTTCATGAGAGTGGTTATTCATCAATATTAAATTTTATTAGAGGTTTGAATAGATAAATTTCATATTGTTTAACATTGATTTTATCTTTATCTATAAAAAAAATGATATCTTATTAAAATAATGCATATGTAATAATAAATAGATAAGTGAGTTGTTAGTGAATTGTTAGTGGGTTTAGGGGATGGGTTGGTAAGTGGGTCAGGTGGGCCGCCCCGCCCACCACGGGTTCAACCCGGGTGGGCCGGGTCGAAAGTAGGCCGGGTCACATTTTTTGACCCATCATAAATTTTCATTTTTTTGGCCCGGCCCGGCCCGTTTTCAAGGTGGGCCGGGTTGACCCACGGGCTAGGGCTAGAGCCCACTTTGACAGCTCTACTAAAAAGTAGAGACAAAAAATAGTTACATATCATGAATTCATGGTATACCTTTTATAATAGGTATAGTTTTTTAATATTTAAGGAATATAATGATTCACTAAAAAGTAGAGATAAAAAGAAAGTTACATATTATGATATTCCCTTTATAATAGGTATAAAGTTGTAAAAAAATATTTAATTTTAAGAAATAAAAATAACTTATTTAATTAATTATTTTTCTCAACATAAAATTAATATTTATATTAAAAGTTTTTTGTTTAAATTTTTTTAGAAAAAACACATTGATATATTAAAACTTAAACTATAAAATGATGCTACTGTAATGAGAAATGACAATGATATTATTATTATTTTATTATTTCATAGTTTATCTTAAACTAATTTAATTTGATCGAGAGATTATTTCTAATACTAAATTTTTTAGTATTAATTAAAAAAATTTAAGAATTATAAATTTAGTTAATCTCACCATTAAATATTACTCGAGACCTGACTCTATCATCATTAATTAATGAAACTTTAATTAAAATATTTTTAAATATAATTGATACATAAAATATTTTAAATTACTTCTTATAAATTGACAAACACGTGAATTAATTTTAATCCGGTGTGAGCTTGTTGTCATTGTTGTGAATATTGAATTCTTCTTCATTATGCATGTAGAGTTATGGAAAATATGTAGGCGTTGGTCTTGCATGGAATAAATGTTTCAAGAAGTTTATTATATAGATCATTGAATTGGTTCCAAAGGAAGATAATTATGATTTATATATATAAAAAAGCACATTCCGTCCCATGACAAACAAAACAACAAAAACAGTGTTTAAGAGTACAGATCGCACGGTGGAATTCTTCAAGAGTCAAGACTCGGGCACCAGAGGTAGCAATTAGCAAAGCAAGAAGCAGAGAATGAAGGTATTGGTGACCGGTGCGTCCGGTTACCTCGGCGGAAGACTCTGCGACGCTCTGCTCCGCCGAGGCCATTCCGTGAGGGCCCTCGTTAGGTCCACCAGCGATATCTCCGCTCTTTCTTCGCACATCGAAATCTTCTACGGCGACGTCACCGACTACGCCTCTCTCCTCGCCGCATTCTCCTCCTGCTCCGTCGTCTTCCACCTCGCCGCCCTCGTCGAACCTTGGCTCCCCGACCCCTCCAAATTCTTCTCCGTAAGTCGCTGCAATTCCCCTCATCTATCGCCCTAACTCACTGTCTCACTTGCCAATCGTTTTTCTCTTTTCAATTAGGTTAACGTCGGGGGATTGAAAAACGTGTTGGCGGCGGTCAAGGAGACTCGCACGGTGGAGAAACTCGTCTATACGTCGTCGTTTTTCGCTCTAGGACCGACTGATGAAGGCATAGCGGATGAGAATCAGGTACAATTCCGATTTGTCTTTGTGTTTATTGTTTTTCTCAATTCCGATTGGAATTGCAATTGCAGGTTCATCATGAGAAGTTTTTCTGTACGGAGTATGAGAAATCGAAGGTAGCTGCCGATAAGATTGCGTTGCAAGCTGCGTCGGAGGGTGTGCCGATAGTGTTGCTGTATCCCGGAGTAATCTACGGGCCTGGTAAGGTTACTGCAGGAAACGTTGTTGCGCGAATGGTAATCGGAAATTGATTTAGATATATATGATTTCCATGACATTTAATTAAATTCAATTGATTATGTTTTGTGATTGATTTGAATTGGTAGATAGTGGAACGGTTTAGTGGTAGATTGCCTGGTTACATAGGGTATGGGAGTGACAAGTTTTCGTTCAGCCATGTGGAGGATGTGGTGGAGGGGCACATTGCAGCAATAGAGAAAGGAGAAGGTGGGAATAGGTATCTACTAACGGGGGAAAATGCGTCGTTCAATCATGTTTTTGATATGGCTGCTGTGATTACTAATACGAAGAGACCAGTGCTTAACATCCCTTTGTGGCTAATTGAAGCCTATGGCTGGCTCTTGGTTTTCTTCGCTAGAATCACTGGAAAGCTACCTCTCATCAGTCCACCGGTGAGCTCTCTTGTCTTATTCCATGCTGATCTAAAAAGGTCTATTGATGTTTAATAAAGCAAGACAGGTTCTGCTTTGAAAAATAAGTACTAAAAAGAAAAGGAAAACATTTTCTTACACCAGATAATCCCCAATTCCTTCTTGGTCTTATTTTATGGAGCAGACTGTACATGTTTTGAGACATCGGTGGGAGTATTCGTGCGACAAAGCTAAAAGGGAGCTGGATTATAGGCCCAGAAGCCTGAAAGAAGGTCTTGTGGAGGTACTTCTCTGGTTGAAGAACTCGGGCTTGATAACATACTCATGACAACATCATTTTCTGTTGTTTTTTGGTCGATACATTATTACTAGTACTTATCAAGGCTTCACCTAGAGCAATATCGATAATTTAAAGAAAGAAAAAGAAAACTGTAGTAGAATATAAATATGTTCTTTTTATGTACGGATTTGGTTTGATGGTCAAATTATAGTCAACCTTAATGAATCTGGTTAAATTTAGTTTAACTCAAATTTAAGATGTTTGATTACCAAATTAAAATTATTTTCAATTGAGGAAAATCATAGTAGAGTTGAAGTAATAAGATGTTATTTTTGCTTCATTCAATATTAGTTTTGATCGTTTAGTTGTTACATTCTTTTCTCTAATTTATCTTCATACTATCAATTTAAATACCTTTTTGTTTAATATTTATGCTAATTTAATATTTTTATTATTTATTTTGACTAATATTTTATTACAAGTGTTATGAGTTTTATTTCAAAAGTAAATTTTTTTTATTCACTACAAATATGAGAAAAAACAACTATCCCTCAACAGAAAACATATCAAGAGGAGAGATCACATCCTGATCCTGATCCTTTAGAGAAAAAATAATATCATCATATAAGTTATGAATCATTCTTAAGATATCACGAATATTCCATATCTCAGTGTCAAAAAGGTGATTGTTGGGCCATCTCCAGATCCACCAACAGGTTGTAGCAAATAGGAACCTGTTATGATTTGCCAGTTGAACCCAAATCCAAGAAACCGCAACTGAAGAGAGAAAGCTGGGGTGAGCTAGTGCCCCAAATGTGTCCAGACCTCCTTAGCATGAGGGCACTCTCTCAGACAAGGCAAGACATCATCCTAATCTTGCAAACAAGAAGGACAAAAGCAGCTGAGTTTGAAATATTTCTGTTTGGATTTGGAGGACGTCTAGGATTTATTCTAGGCGAGTCACCAAAGCCAGAGCATTCAAGAGTGTAATTTGTCCTCTTAGATTTAAGGTTCAAGATTTTATAGTTACTTATTCGTGGGTCTTATGGGTTTCGAAAATATTGAGATTTTCTAAAGTGATTTTAATACTGTAATCTTTGGTTATTAAATATAAGATTTTATTCTAGATATGACCTTCTATAACGGATTTATTCTGATATCCTTTAGGGAGGTAATTTGTATTAAGAAATCAGCCTACTCCTGATCCTTTGATATCCCTTATCGGCTTAGCCTTTAGCGTGTTCGGTCAAAGATCTCGACCAAAGCCTCTCGACAAGACCATCACAGAATTTATCCGGGATGATACACTTGTCCCCTAATCCTAAGCCTAGAAGGCGAAAGGACTTGAGTAATAGTTACGGTGCTTGACACCTCTCAGTAGAACCATCTTGAAATTTATCTAACTTGGTATACTTGTCCCCCAATCCTAAGCCTAAAAAGCAAAAGGGCTTGACTGACAGTTACGACGCTTGACACCTCTCAATAGAATTATCTTGAAATTTATCTGACTTGGTACGATTTCTTTTTAAAGAAGTATAGTTATTTGGAAGAGTCGTGAAGTATGAGCTAGAAAAGCAAGTGAATCTTTCCTGGAATACGTAGCTTCTAAAGATCATCCAGAGGCTCCTATCACAAAGATCAAAACCTTCTTGTAACTTACATATTTTCTTAAGCGTATATACCATAATAGGATATGCAATATTTTTTCCCATAAGTTTGATGACTAGAGTCTCAACCCACGACTCACAATTCTTTAAAATAATTCTCATCAACAATAATCTTAGGGAGTAGAAGATTCCCTTCTTCAAATTTCACCTTCAAAAGATTACAAGATAAAATATCTTTCTTCTTTTTTGAATGCAAGGGTGGTTTGCTTGTCAATTTGTCCCGAAAGGAGATGACATTTGGAATTGCTCCATCAGGAGGATCACGAGGGGGTCTACCTACATGAGAGGAAGAACTAGAGAAAACGAATCCCAAACAGGGAGACTACATTGGGTTTTCTTTCCAACAACAATTATCAACTTTATTTGTTATTCATTAATAAATCAAAGGAATATAAATTTCTTTAGTGCTTGAGCTTAAAAAAGGAACAGAGATATGTTTCTCATCATAGAAAGGACAAACAAATATCACAAAATGTGCAAAGTTTTAGATAAAATTATTTTTGATTGACACACGCAACAAATATCTCAAAAATGTGCAAAGTCTCGAATAATAAGTAACTTCCGTGATCAAATAAGAAATAACAATTTGATGAAATACATTTAATGTTTACATTTAATACACTAATAGACACCTTTCACTATAAAGAAGGATATGCAATGAACATGTGGAAGAACATATGTACAAGATTTTGATGATGTCAAAGCATTGTAGAAAACAAAAGGTCAAGATAAAGCAAGTTGATCAAGGAGAAAAATTTCAAGTAATAACTAGATAAGTCTTGACTACTTAGCTTAATATGTAAAATGAACTTTTAAAAGTATTGCAAATTTTACTTGGCCATTAAAATTAGAATTTCAAGAAAACCTAAACTTAATCTTTTTGAAATATAAGAATAAGTTGTTTGAAAAGAAAGCAAAAAGAGTGTTAAAAAAGATTTTACAAAAATATTTTTGACTGAAAATTAGAAGTTTCTTATAATCAAAAGTTTGTGTAACAAATATAAGAATATTTGTCTAGTAATCGATTACCAGCTTATGTAATCAATTACCAGAGCAAGGAAACTTCAAAGTTTGAATTTTGAATACCAAATGGGTTCTAGTAATCGATTACTAGTCATTGTAATCGATTACTAGAAGATGAAATTTCAAAATTTGAATTTAAATGATACAACGTTTCAAACATTTTGAACTTAAAACTGTTGTAATCGATTACCAAGTCTTGTAATTGATTATCAGAGTATCTTTTCTGAAAAATTATAAAGAGTTATAACTCTTCATGAAAAGACACAACCTAAAAAATAATTGTCTATAAATACCTATAATTTTTTAGTAAAAGGTTACGAACTTTATTGTGAAAAAGACATTTACAAAAACTTCTTGGCCAAATTCATTTGCATTATTCTAAGAGTTCATTAAGATATTTAAAGGTGTAATATCTACTCTTAAAAGAGAGTTCTTCTGTAATTCCAAATTGATCATTGGATCTGTAAAGTAGAAAAAGTTGTTCACCTTGTTGTTTTTGAATCTCAACACTAGGAAAGGGTATTCCAAGGTGTTGGAGAATTCAAGTCTTGTAAGTACTACAAGAATAGTGAAAATCTCAAGTTGGAGACTTGAAGACTTGATGTAAGCAAGTTTGGCCGAACCAGTATAAAATCAAGTTTGCAATTCTTCTTCCCTACCCTCCTCCTTGCTTGTTCACTAATTGTGGTTGAGTAATTTTTATATCATTACATACATTTTGCTTAAATAAATAAATTTTTAGAAGGCATCTTTAACAATTGTAAAAGAGAAGAAAAATAAGAAAACTTAATTCACCCCCCTCTTAAGTTATATGAGACTTCTTGACTAACAGAACATCTTTATGAAATACTTATATAAAGAAACTTGAAGACTCAAAGGATAAAGAACAACAATGGCAAAAAAATTCATTTCATTTTTTCAATGTCTTTGTGCTCAAATTAGTTGTATCATGTCTTGAAAGTAAAATAAAACAATAAGTGATTTCCTATTTTTAACTTATTGTTATTGCTTGAAGCATGAAGAATGCTTGAAATGACAAGTCAAATAATACTTAGGTTGAGTCAAAAGTGATTTATGAGAATATTTGTATCTTTATGAAAGATATTGAAATTTGAACATTAACACAAAGTTAAAGTTAGAAAATTTGTTTTACTTTTAAGACATGATGCAATCAAATTAAGTACAAAACTTTTTATATAAAGAATGAATAAAATTTTTACAATGTTGTTTTTTTTTCTTTCCGAGTCTTCAAACTTCTTTATATAGATATTTTCATGAAGATAATCTTTACAAATTCTTGAACATCTCTCATAGAACTATTTTATTTATCTTTGTCTTTCTTGCTCGTAGATAAAAGTGTTTGTTGCTACATTAAATCCAAATATTAAATGTGTTTCATCAAAATTTCACTTTTTATCTGATTAAGGAGGGTTACTTATCACCTTTAAGGGGTGCTTTTAGGGTATAAGTTTTTAGTCTTTTTGGGAATCTTAGAGTGAGAATATTAGTTTCTCATGTTTGACATTTATTTAAAAAAAATCAAATAATTATTGTTTCCTAAGAATAATTTTTATCACACTTTCCCAACTAAACATTTTTATGAAGTGAGTTGAGAATATAATTTTTCCAATTAAGAGGGAAAGTTTTAATTATATAAATGATCATAATATCATTTTTTAAAAGAAAATATATAATTGAATTTTATCTTTTCAAAGTATTTCTCTTCTATTTCTCTTTCTCCCTCACTATCTTGCTCTCTCTTGCTTTTTTCTCTCATTTTCACTCTCATTCCCCTCCCCTTTTCTCTCTTTCACTTCCCCTCTTCCTTTCTCTTTTTCCCTTTTCCCTCCCTCTCTCTCACATTTCTATTTCTCTCTCTTTTTCGTGTATTTCATTATTTTTTAACCTTGTTAACTTTAATAATTAACCATATATATTAAATATGAATTTCTATCTTGCAAGAATGCATTTTTAAGAATTTTTCTCTGACGAAAGAATTTTTTAGAGATTTTTTTTAACTTCTTATCCAATTCATTTTTTTTCATAATTATTTATAAATTAAATTTTAATATATTTAAAATAAATTATTAATAAATAAAAATAACATTCTACCATAATATACAATAATTGCCACGCAAAAAACAATTGCTTTCTTTGATATTTGTTAACACTTATTTATTTATTTTTAATGAAATGAAATAATATAGTTTGTTATACTTAATAAATTAACTTATTTATCTATATAATATAATAAAAATAATATATATATATATATATATATATTATTAACAATATAATTAAATAAATAAATTTATAATATAAAAAATTAAGTTATCATTATTTTTGATATTTTTATTACACTTAAATATTTTAGGTTCTTTATCATACAAAATCTAAAAAATCAAAAATAAAACTCTAGAATGTACATCATTGTTTACTATTTTGACTCTAGAATGTACATCATTGTTCACTATTTTTCTTTATTTTCATATAAAAAATATTTTTATATATATTTTTTAATAAAGTTATATTCTTTTCATCATAGTCTGTATATGTTAGTGTATTTGTATCACAACTAAAAATTTGAAATTATGGTTTTAAAAAAGAGAATTTCTATATATTAAAAAAAAATGAAAAAGTTCCAAAATTTAAAATATTCATATTTTTTAATAAATTTATTATAAAACAATTATTTAATTTAATATTTTAATGTTTAAATTATTTTTTTAAAAATTCGGACTGTGTTTCGGAGAAACTTTTGGAAGATCTATAATTTTTTTAAAAAATAAATAGTATAACATTTTTCTATCAACGATTACTATTTTTTTCTTACCTTTTGTGATGTGTCAAATCATTCCATAGTCGGTCACAATTTATTTTGAATTCAAATTTTACCTTTTATTATGAGTTAAATTATTTTATTATTTTAAAATTAATATTTTTTTAGTGACCATTATAATTAACTAAGTAATCCAAGAAAGAAATTGAAGTAGTAAAAATGTGAAGATTTTAATTCGATCACTATTGCAATTATTTTTTTAAAAGAAAAATATAATACACCCTCTAAATTAAAAATATTTTTTAAAAAATAAATAAAATACTATTTATAACAAATACAATTAAAAACATTTTAATAGACATATTATATATTTTATGTAAATTATGAAAATTAAATGTATTTAATTATTTTTAATTCATATGAAATTGATTTTTTTATGCGATGGATTATATATCAAAAATATTTTATTGATCGACTCATGTGAAAAATTTATTTTTTGAGAATAAATTTATATTCTCATAATATTTTCTGTTTGATAATATGTATCTGTAAATTACTTTATACTAATATAAAAAAACAAATAAATGAATAAATAATAATAATAATTTGATATGATTAACCTTATAATTAATATTTTTTAATAAAAAAATATGTAACACAATCAAATTTTAACATAATACTATTAGAAATATTAATAAAAAATAATTAATACTTATATAAAACTTATTTTAAAATATAATTTTTCTTTTAATACGAAAATTATCCTTTACATAAAAGTTCCCCTTACACTAACAAAAAAAAAGAGTGTAACATTTTAAATTATAGTGACAGGAATGAGGAAACTTAGCTAGAAATACAACTATTGGGGAAATGACACGGTGCATCGGGAAGTGGGAATACAACGGTCGACTACTGTAAATGCAATGCCATTTCAGTTCACAATTCATAAACCAAACCCAACCACAGCATTACGATATATACAAATAACATCGTAACGGTGCGGGTGTTGTGTTGTTCTGGAAAGAGAAAAATGGTGGCAGCGTACGAGGAGAGTCGGCGAAAGAGGTTGGAAGAGAACAGGAAGAGGATGGAAGCCCTCAATCTCCCTCTGCTCTCTCAAGCTCTTCACAAATCCTCTCCTTCCAAATCCTCCCCTGTATGTAACTATCTATTACATTATATTATATGTTACATTAAATATCATTTTATTTTTCATCTATATTATATGATCCATCACTCTTTGTTGTTTGCAGCTGAAGCAGCATGCTAAGAGTCGCACCATTGAGAAAGAGGTTGTTGTCGTCAGGAGGTCCAGCCGTGTGGCCAACTTGCCCTCACCCGTTTACAAAGAGGTGGTTATTGATCGTGTCACAATACCTAGAAGGTTGCTTCTCCATTAGCCTTAACTTTCATTTTACTTTATTCAAAAGAAATGACATATTTTTCCATTCGTTTTTGTAGAAGTCTTGGTAGAACTTACAGCAAGCACAGGGATTATGCCAATCGGGTGTATGCTTCAGATGAAGCCAGAGAAGAAGCATTGGAGAAAGCAGACAAGTTAATGTCCGATTTGGAATCTCAATATCCCACCTTTATAAAGACAATGCTCCAGTCCCACATCAGCGGGGGATTCTGGCTGGTAATATAAAACTATATCCACTTTTTTATTGCTTTTGAACCACGTTTCTTTCATTTTTGTAATTTCTGTCTATAAGATTAAGTTGTTTTTCATTAAATGGGTAGCTTCATTTCATTGGAGCTTAGCTTATGCCCTTTCGTTCAGGCGTCTCTTTGTACAAATAATACGTTGTCATTTTATATTATTATTATTTTTGTTTACATTTATTCAAATTATTGTGTTTGATAACCATGGTTTCATTCTTATTTATCAGTAATTTTCTGTTTTGAATTGTGTGTCAATTTGATGAATAAACTAAATATGTTTTTGACATTCCTAGCTCCTAAGAATGTATAGGATACCATAGAAGAAAGATAGAGAGTGATAGATCATAGATGTAATGGCTAATACTAGCAAAAAGGAAAAGAGGAAAAGGGGTGCAAACTATATAATATAAGTATAGGATGTTTGACAAGTCTAGAAATTTATTTATTTTCTACAATATTTGCTAAGAGGTGCAAACGTCAAATTTTTTCAATAATCATGATTCATGAAAATCAGGAATTTTGGTAATTATGATTCTTAAAAATCATTAATATCTAATTCTGGTAATCATTATTTCTAAGAATCATTAAAATTTATTTAGTTAGTCATAAATGTTTTTTTGGAATATTTTAAAATATTACATGAATCATGAATTTTCAAACATTAAATAAGTAAATAAAAGTAATGTAACATTTTTATTGTATTAAAACTTTATTTTTGCTTTGAGAAAGTTAGTTTTTCATCCCTTTATAAATCCATTTCTAGGAAACAATTGTTCTTAAAAATATTATTTTTTTAATAACAGATTCAACGCAAAAACTTAAGACTCTCAACGTTACATTTCTAAAAAAGAAAAAATTTATGTGTTTCAAACACTCCTAAAGATTACAATAAGAGTGGGCTTTTTAATTTTGTTCCTTCAAAAGTTATATTACAATATTTTCATAACATGTAATCTTGTGTGTAAACATAAATATATGAAGTGGGGAATCATGATAATTTTTTTTTTAAAAAAAAAATAGCACTTGTCTTCTCTGATGTCTCTTGACAAGTCTTCCTAAATGATGTTAACACCTCTAATTTTTAAAATACACTCACCCTTATGAGAGATAACATTAAGAAATAGGTATGCATGTTTTTATTAGAGGTGTGTTTGAATTGGAATCAAGGTGTACCCAAGGTTATCGGGCATTCACTCAATGAAGGAATAGTCTTCTCCATATCCTGCAATCCAATCACACTGAATTTGTTTGGATAGAAGTTTAGAAGACTTTTTTTTTATATATTTTTTTTATTGAAAATAAAAAGTTTTTTCTTGAATAAAAACTCTCAAAATTTCTTTTAAACTAAAGAGGCTTTAAATACATGAGGGAAGTAGGTGCAGTGTGAGTGTCACTTAAAAAGACTTCTGAGTGATTTCTCCTAAATTTTATAATTTGTTTAATCTTCACAAGTAAAGTATTGTTTAAAACACACAAGGATTGGGATATATGATTCCTAAAAAAAGTTGATGCCCTTATAACACAACCAAATTGGTTTAACTGTAAATGTATTGCCCAATACTGCAGAAGCGACTCAGTTAAATGCGTTTTGTTTCTAAGCGCAATTTAAAATGGGGTTAATCACTGTGCAATCGTTGACAACAGGGCCTTCCAGTCCATTTCTGCAAGAGCAATCTTCCAAAAGGGGACGAAGTGATGACATTGATTGATGAGGATGGGAACGAGTACCCAACAATATATTTGGCACGAAAAACAGGACTTAGTGGTGGATGGAAAGGTTTTGCGGTTGCTCATGACCTAGCTGATGGGGACGCTTTAATTTTTCAGTTAATTAAGCGCACTGCATTCAAGGTGATTAAATATTGATCATATTGGCTTATTCATGCCCTTGTGGTAAAACATTCATCATATTTTTGAATTATGTGAGCGGTATTCATGATTGTTATTAAGAAAAGAAAATTGTGATTTGACTAATAAATATAATCGAGTCCTTGACTATATTTTAGAACTTTAAAAAATGTGCTGCCATTTTATTTTCATGTGCTGTGGACTGTGGTTAGTGGTTACTACTTGTACTTGCTCCCTTTTGAGCTATCTCAATATTGCTACATTTTTTTTTTTTTTCATTTTGAATTCATGAATATGCTTCTCCTAGTGTCACAGGTGTACTGTATGAGTTCACTAATCTTGATACATACTGTGGTTGCCTAATATTTTCTTTCAGGTGTACATTATTAGAGCAAATAGTCCTGCAGAGGATAAAAAGCTTAAGTGAATTGCAGTTGGAGATAGAAGCCATTAAAATTAATCTAGGTATTATTTTCTTCATAAACATAATCAATCATGTTACATCCAGAGTAAATATAACCTTTAAATGAAGTGAAAATCAGGACACAGATACAACTTGGGTCTCTTCTGCTGATGTATGATCGTCAAATATAGGTTTGTTATCTGGGGCTTTTGGACATCAATAATGGTGATCTGATAAAACTTTAGGGATGAAAAATTAAGCAACAAGTTTGTAATGTTAGAAAGGATACGCACTTGGAGGCCTATATAAATAACACAAACTAAGAAAAGGCCTACAGGTGTTAGAATAGTGGATTAAGCCTAACTCAACCCTACAAAACTAGCTTGTAAGGTGAAGGTTGCTTTTCACTTATATACTATTCAATTGCCTAATCTCTAGTCGATGTGGGATTTAAGTTTTTCCCAATCACAGGGGAAGAATACAAACAATGACCCTTTCCTTTTTCAGGTTCAGGATGAGAATAGTCTGTTGCTCTATTGGCTTTTAAGATCATAGCCATGACCATTCATTGCGTGCTTTAAGTCAAGTTCCCATACATTTAACAAGAGATCTAGAATGGGTTAGTATTATATTGCAATTGTATATGTATTCGAGAAACTAATCACATTAGGTTCTGAAAAGATCATTGTCATTTGATAATTTAGAAAGGTAAAATGATGCCACTAAATGCACTGGGTGAGAGAACATGTCAAGGGGATACTTGAGATACTAATAGGAGTTTATTGCACCAGTGAAAGAGTTTTTCGTAATTAATTGTAATCAAATAGAGTTTCTTAGTGACTTCCAAGGGTAAGGGCTAGGTTAGGCACGCTAAATTCCAACTTCCCTGTCACATTTTGTCCGGTGGTTGCAATCATAGTCATATATTGAAATTTTTGTATGTTGTATTAAAGATACATGTGGGTCTTTGTGCGTGTCAAAGGGATAGTTGGTTCCATTTTTGTCTTCGATCAACGTTGTTCGTATTCGAGTCTTGAAGCAGTGGAAGTTTGTTTCTGTTTCAGTTTAAAATTAATTCAATGAATGCGTTATTCATTAATTCATTTAGTTTTGTATTGCAGGTTCTTGTGCAATGGAAGTTCCATCTTGGGTTCAATTTTTGGTCAAGTTTTAATACACTTGTAGTTTGGCTGACGTATGAAGTCTAATTCTGCTTTGGGGAACATGTTTATATCTGTATGTGAAGGGAACTCTTAAGTATCTATATCTAAAATGAATAGAATGATCCCATGACGAATTTTCTTGAATACGTAATTGTTATAGTGCTTGTTTTTTTGTGGTTGGGTGTGGTGAATGTGAATTTGTTGACTCTATCTAACAAATATAGCTGGCCTTGGCCAAAACTAAACCAGGGGCACAAAGGCAGAAATTAGTCTTGTCGCACATGTGCTGATGCGCAAACATGCCACCATCATTTGTTTCTTTGTTTAATCTAACTTAATCTTCGGCTTCTTTATTTTTTAATGTTTATTTAATTTTTTTTATTATTTTCACTCTACTTTTTAAAATTATAACTACAATCACAAATTCTTTTTTTTTTTTTTCATTGTTGAGTATTTGATGCTATATATATAAGAAAGGAAGCAAACTTAACGCGTGTGTATGACGAGGAAGAGGAAGTTATTAGAGGCTTTTTTTAGTAAGAGAAATTATAAGGAAGATGATGCATTATTGATTTAGAAGTAGCGCATGTGGCGGAGGTGCAGTGAATAGCTGTGGTGGACTACGCGTATTTGAAGTCTGATGTATACATATATTTATATCTATTTGATGGGAACACTTGGTTGGAAAGGTGATGTGGGGTGTTTACAGCTGGCAAAAGCATGTACTACAAGAACAAGTCTTTCTGGCTTTCTAATTTACAACTTAATTAGCATCTCACTATGAGGCTCAGCCTCACTCACTCAGCCATCACTATCAGCCATCAAAAGTTGGCTCTCATTTTTATATTCATTTTTCTAAGTGGCTGATTAGATTATGCATCATAATTCACTCCTTTCACGCCGACCTCACGCTTACAAGTCACATACGCCAGCATAATGCTGTGTTATGTTGATATTGTTAACTGGATTGGGATACTGTAACATTAATTCTTGAAACTAAGAAAATTTTAAATAAAAATATGAAAGTATGATATGTTAATTAATATTCACTTTCATGAGCCAAATTAATTATTTACTCTACGTGATAATAAAAAAACCCTATCCTAAACAATAAAACAAACGAAGAAAGGATCCATTAGCTTCGATTGTCTGTTCCTTTCGGCGATGGTGTGGACGCGCCAATAGCAGTGCGGCACGGCACCCGTTTTGTTACTATGACAAGCGCCGATGATTGCGGGGGTTCTCGTTCTCGGCATTAAAGGTTTAGGTTCAACCTTGGACTTTTTTTCGTCTCTTTCTTAGTTCAAGGTGAAACAGTTATTCATTTTTTATTAAAAAAAATCATGATTTTTTAAATCAATAATTGTTTTCTAAGATATACTGAATAAAAAATAATTCTTTAACTTATAAAAATAAAATTTAGTTACAATTCTTAAAATGTGATTAAAATTATTTTCTGTTTCGAAATATCTAAAAAGTCTCGCTTTGTTTAAGAGTCGAGACTAATAATAACTTATAAATATTCTCCTTACTTAATCGATCAAAGTCCTTTTTAAAAAATATAATCGTAATAATCCAATGAACATTAAAACAGATAATATGTATAAATATATATTAAAAGTTGGAAAAATTATATCATAAAAACCTAACTCTAATTAAAAAATAACACCAATCACATTTAAGGAATTATAACTGAATTTTGTTCCACTAAAAAACCTAATAAAAAAAATGTTGTCACTTTTACCATAATATTTTAACAAAAATGTTACTTTTAACGAGATAAATAAAATATGTAATTTGAATTCTTAGCATTTACAGAAATATTCATATGAGAAATTATTATATTTATATTATGAGTTAGAGACACTTTAGTTGCTTGATTTTAATTGATCTATATGGTTCGAGAAAATGCAAATACTTTGAGAAGAGGACGTACTTTGGAGGAGAAATCCATTAATAATTAATATATACTGCAAAATATATATTTTCCCTTAAATCAAGTGACCATCGAAACAATAGTTTTAGACATTTGCCAGCCAAAATATATTTTGGAAGATCTTCTGTTTGTATTGGCTATCTCCAATGGCAATTAGGTGGAAAAAGCAAGAAGAGAAAGAGTACGTTAAGCAATTTGTGTGAGATGATAAGACAACACAAATTCTAATCGCGTGGATAAGGAAATTCCCAAAAAGAAAATGTAGGGCCTTCTGATTGCGAACGAATTTGGATATACCGATGTTACAAATGTAGATATAGACTAGACTTCACTAAAGTTTCTCAAGCACTGTTGCCTTTTGAGGTAAGTGAAACTACTGTTTATAGTCTGTTCCACAAATTCAACTGCGTTCTATGTGGTGCAGGAAAATACCAGGAATTTAGCTGTTCCACCGTCAGTAATTATTTCAAATTAAGAAAATCTCAATAAATTTTAATAATTCATAATTTATTATATATATTCATTAATAAATTTAGTATAGATATATAATAAATTTTACTTTAACCAATTGCAATTGCATCGATTATTCGTATGAGAATTACCGCGCATACAAAATAATTTCCTCCCATAAATTATATATGTCATAATGGTACGAGCATGATTTATTGTTTCCTTCCATGTTTGATAAATAATATTATTTATAAAAATATATTTGAAATTAAAAAGTAAAATAAATTGAGTACAGGTGGGTAATTGACAGAGCGGCGCAAGAGTGATTACAGCGTTGACAATGAGGAGGGTGGGTGGCGCCGAGCCGAGGAAATGAAACGAAGCGTTTTGGGCATGTCATATCATTCACCGTCTTTGGGGGAAAGAAAGAAAAAGAAACGGTCCATTCATTTCATTTGTTTGTTTGTTTGTTTGTTTTATGTTTTGTGTTTTAAGCTTTATTGTCTTGTGTTGTATTGTATACATCAACAAAGCCAGTTTTGCAGAACCCCGGGATCCGCGTTTTTCGACCACTCCATCTCACCCATTCTGTTAATCCAACGTTGTTTTCCGACCATGAACTGCATTGCCATCTTGTTATAACAAATGCCGAATTGGCATCAACACAATTGATTAATGTCTGTGATTGTGTCGTATTTTAGGATTTTGTTGTGACCCACGACACAATCACATGGAGGATTAAAGCAGAAGGAACGCATTGGTGTTTCGTATTCGAGTTTCGAGGAAATTAAGGTTTATCATCGCCAACCATCAATGTCTGCTCGGAGTGGACACCAAACGGTTCCCCTTTCGGTGCTGCTGAAGCGCGAGTTGGCCAACGAGAAATTTGAGAAGCCGGAGGTGGTGGTTGTGCACGGCCAAGCTAGCGAGAATAAGAAAGGCGAGGATTTCACGCTGTTGAAGACGGAATGCCAAAGAGTCGTCGGAGATGGGGTTTCTACGTATTCTGTTTTTGGAGTATGTTGTGTTATGTTTCTTTCTCATGCCATCACATTTTCTTTTAGTTGAGATTTAATGGATTGTAACTCATCAGCGTGTTTTTATGTGATTATGGTGCATCACAAGTCAATGTGTGTGTGTGAGTGACGAGTACAATGCATTCACCTTACTGACTGTCTACTTCTTCTTGAGTTACTTAGTATTTAAAGCCAAATGTATTTTAATTTTGCTTATAGTTGATGCTTTGATCTACTTGGCTGATTTAGACTGTCAAAAAAGTTTTTGCAAGGAAAATAATTTATATGCAGTTCATTATGTACTTTTAGGATGTTCTCCGATCAGAATTGGAGTTTTACATTGTTAACATGATAAAGGTTTGCATTGAAGATCAACATATGTTACTTAGTTGATTAGTGAACACCACAAAAAACATATCTAAATTTTGTCCACTAACTAATTGCATAGAATGTTTGTATCAACACAGAAGACCATATTCTTGATAGTTAGCTTTTGTTTGTATGCACGTGAAAGCAACTTATCTGTGTTTTCTTTCTTATTCACTTGTATTAGTTGAAGACAAGAATATATTAGCATTTTCTCAATGAATGCTTATGTTATAGCAACATATACTATTCTTTCTTTTCTTGGTTTTGGCTTTTTTGTACACCTTTTATGTTGTTGCATTTGCATTCTCTGATGTAGAAGTTTTACAGCTATTCGATGGACATAATGGATCTGCTGCTGCTATTTATGCCAAGGAGAATCTTCTAAGCAATGTTTTAAGTGCGATTCCTTCTGATCTTAACAGAGATGAGTGGATAGAAGCATTGCCTAGGGCTTTGGTTGCGGGCTTTGTAAAAACTGATAAAGATTTTCAACAGAAAGGTATAACGAGTTACTTCCTTGTTGTGTTTGTTCTTGCCTCTATTAATTATTTGGCTATGAGGCAAATTCATGTATTCCAGTTGGAATCTTCATAGTGATAATGTAATATTACCAGATAGTATTGCTATATCACCTATGTGACCTCCTACTTAAATAAAATGTTTCCTTCTCAGAAAAAAAATAGTAAGTATATTTGATGTCTTGGAAATATAAAAAGTATTCAATACGTTTTCATCTAGTATGTATGGGGGGTTAATGGGAAAATTTTTCTAGGAAGATTAAGAATTATTCTTTACAAAAATAACTTGTCAATATTCCCATTTCTCAAAGTCCAAAAATTAAAGAATAACAGGTTAAAAACAAAGAAAGCAGGTAGAATGCATGCTGAGCATGTTGACAATATCGGGAAACCTTGTTAATATTTTTCTAACCTCTGTTAGTTCATTGCTACTAGCCTAGGTCCTTTTGAGCTGTTTAATGGACCCTGTCAAGAGAAATTGAAAATGTACTAAATTTTCTGCAGCTTAAGCTTAGAATTGTCTAATGCATACTGAGAACAGTTTAATATCGTTTAGCTGTTTGGACCTTTGAGTCAATGCAACTATATATATATATATATATATATATAGTTGCTGGAGAACATGCATTTTCTAATAAAAATGATCAAAAGCTTTTGTAACTGAGCTGTCATTGATAGGTCTTGTACTTCTGAAGTTTTTGTTATATTTTTCTTGTATGTTGGTTTATATATTATTATATTTTTTTGTACAGCAAAAACATCAGGAACAACTGTAACCTTTATGATTATAGAAGGATGGGTTGTAACAGTTGCATCAGTTGGTGATTCCCGTTGCATACTTGAGTCTTCCGAAGGTGGAATTTATTACTTGTCAGCAGACCATAGACTAGAAAGCAATGAAGAGGAGTAAGTTGTTACTGGAAAGTTTTGTATGAACAACTGCTTGGAATTGCTCCGTTAAATTGCAGCAGTCTCATCCTTTCTTTTCCTTTCATCAGGAGGGTCCGCATCACTTCTAGTGGGGGTGAGGTTGGTCGTCTAAATACAGGTGGAGGCACAGAGGTATTTTTCCTTTTAATTGTGATCTCTTTTTGAATTCAGATTGCACTGGTTTCCTGAGAAGCTTCAATAATCCCGCCTCCTCTCCCCCTCCCTTCCTACGGCAAGAAAAAAGGCCATCATCACTGCTAAAATCAAAGCAGTGGGTGGAAGTGCTTCTCAAATGAATCTGATGCCTCTACCAATAGCAGTACTACTCTTTTGCACATGATGCATGGCCAGTTAAACTAGATAAGAAGAGATTAAGAAATACTCTAGGTCAATTACCATGTAGAGTTGAGACTTGAGAGGCAAGATAATTGATGCTAGCTATAGGATCGTGTCTTGTCTTAACAGTACTCATCACATATGTTGTTAGATTTTTATAATATTTTTGGAAAACTGTTTACATTTTCAGTGTTATACCGGGCATATGTGATGATATTTAGACTACCTTCCTTCGCCATATACTAAGATTCTCTTTGGAAGAAACTTGCATTTGAGTTGTATTATGCCTGACCAGATTAATGATATTTATAGGTTGGTCCTTTGAGATGTTGGCCTGGTGGCTTGTGTCTTTCACGATCAATTGGTGATATGGATGTTGGTGAATTTATAGTTCCTGTACCATACGTAAAGCAAGTAAAGGTCAGTCAAAGTTTTCTGTGATTTATGTTTATTAGTTGTTTTTCTTATGTTTCCCTTCTTAATTTTACTTGTGTGTATATAATTTCTCATTTACTTAAGTTTAGTTCATCATTTTCTATCTCTGCTTCACAGGCAGAAGTAGTCTTCATAGCATGATTTTCTATCCATTAATACAGAGGACTTGAATTTTCGTTTTTTCTTTTGAGATCATCTATTGGCTTTTAATAGTCGAAATGAATTTTTCTTGCTACAATGCTGTAAATCCTTTTGTATTTTGTCTTCCCTTAAAAGTGCTTAATTCCTATGTTGTCCTCTCGTGTCTGTTTTTTTGCAGCTTTCCACTGCTGGAGGCAGGGTTATTATCAGCAGTGATGGTGTCTGGGATGCTCTAACTGCAGAAATGGCCCTTGATTGTTGTCGTGGCATGTCAGCAGATGCAGCAGCATCACATATTGTGAAAGTATGAACGTCTTTTACATAATTTTTGAATGCTCTGGTTTCACCTTGTAACTTGTGTCATTTTGTGGCATGACCTGCTTCTATTTTTAGTTTATTACCATTTATTCCTGTCTCTTCTCTTTCTTCAGGAAGCCGTGCAAGCAAAGGGACTTAGAGATGACACAACATGCATTGTTATTGATATATTAGCCCAGGAGAAGCCACCTACTTCTGTGCCAACACAAAAGAAACAGGTAAAAGGAAGGCTTAAGTCCATTTTTCGCAAAAAGTCCTCTGAATCATCTGATATTGACAAACAATACCTGGAGCCAGATGTGTTACAAGAACTATACGAGGAAGGGTCTGCTATGCTTTCAGAGAGGTTAGGTTTCTTACTAGTGTTGTGAATGTTAGCATCTTTCTCTCTAGTTATCTCTCTTGACATGGAAACATATTTGTCTGTGATGCAGGTTAGAAACAAAATATCCACTTTGCAACATGTTCAAGTTGTTTAACTGTGCTGTGTGTCAGATAGAGATAAGACCTGGGGAGGGTATTTCCATACACGAGGGTGCACAAAATCCAGGAAGATCGCGACCCTGGGATGGACCTTTCCTTTGCTCAAGTTGCCAGGAGAAGAAAGAAGCCATGGAAGGGAAGCGAACATCAGGTTTCTGATAACGCTTCCACGTTTCTATATCCATTGATGCCTTAAGGTTATGCATGTCCATAATTGAATTGTCCTCCAACCTTTTGCTTTCAGATAGACTTAGCAGTGGAAGTGACTAATGAATTATCATGTACATTTGCATTTTGAGACACAAAGAACCTTCATATAACGGGGAAGGTAAAACTTCCAAGCAACAATGACTCCCTTTGTCCCTTAGATTACCACGGAGGCTTCTCAGAATACGGATGTATTTTGGAAATCCACATGGAAATCAATATGGAGTTTCTGTGTTGTTCAATGTATGAGTCAGGAGACTAACAAACAATTGCAGCATGTTAGAAGAATACTGACTTGGAAAAGAGGAATATGAAGTATGAACCAACCAAGAGTGTGAAAGGTTGTGTTCGAAGTGGGAATGCACAGCAGGACGTCGGAGGTGATTCATTCTTGCTTTTTTAATTCCTTTGTTCTCCCTGGATCTGTTCATTTGTATATATGTCTTCAGAATCACGAAATCGAGCTTTAAGGAAACTGGTCTTTGTTGTTGTATTGTGCTATACAGGGAGGTCTTTTAGTTGTTTTTTAGTTTTTTTTTTTTTTTGGTGGGGGGTTCTAATACAAGGAAGGGAGTTTATTTAGACGTCATAGACCAGTTCCACTGTATAATAGACGTGCTTTAAGGCTTCTGAATTAGCATTAAATTTCGATAATTTCTTTCACAATACCAATATTAACTTTTCGTAATAGAAATGTTTGGAAAGCCCCACCTTCACAATCCTTTATTTCTCATGACCTGTTTTATCTCACCAATCCGGCTCGATTTTAAGAGATTTTAAAAGGTTCGAGTTATATTTTGGATAGTCTCTATTAAGTCTAATGCTATATTTTCTTTTACAAAGTACATTTTTTTAAAGCAATTAGATACTACTAATTAATAGTACAATATCTTCAGTTAATAAATGATAATTTTACTCTGATGTTATAATATTAATAATACAATTTCTTGAGTTAATAAATAATTTTATCTAATACTTTTCTCATCTCTCTTTATGTATCCGTAATTCCGTTTACAACCTTTTAAAAGAAGTGATTTAATCAGAAATGAAAGATTCTATATATTAGACATTACATATGCTTTTGTGAGTTTATATAATGGTGACTGTGATATTGAGTAAGTTGACAAACTATATTTTTTCGGGGTAAAGGCTTATATATTTATTAAAGTGATTCTTATACACTGTTTGGGTATATAACACAATTAAGTGATAAGAAGAAAATTGAGAAAATAAAATAAAAATGTAATAGGTGATGTGAAAAAGGAGAGAGAGAAATAGGTAAAAAAAGAAGCGGAGGTGTTGTATAATATGAACATGATTGTTGTATGAATAGCATGCTGTTTCTTTGTAACGGAGTTAGAACTCAATAAGCAAAATCAATTTTCATAAGGGGAACCAAATAATTAGTGTGATCTTTGTTTATGATTCTTTTGTTGGGATGGAGTGCGTGATATGGGTAAAGATAATTCAGTAGTCATTTCAACTGCTAAATCTAATTGAAAGCAAACTAGCAAAGGGGTGGTTATATGCAACCAACTCCGTAGACTAATGTAGTTAGTCTGCTGTCTACGTTAATACAGACTCAATTATTTTAGGTTAAAACCCTATTTTGGTCCCTTATAATTTTTTTTTGTTTCAATTTAGTCCCTCATGAATTTTTGGTCTCAATTTGGTCCCAAACTAATTAATTGGTTTCAATTTAGTCCTATATTAATTAATTGGTTTCAATGTGGGACTTTCCGTCTAAATTGCTTTAACGGTGTTAACTTTTGGCCACGTGGACGCCACGTAGATGCATACGTGGCATCCACGTGGATGAGAATTTTTTTGAAAACACCTGGACCCAGAACGGCCCATTCTGAAACCGGAACGGGCCGTTCTGGATGCACTTTTGGTGTGTTAATTTTGCATCCGGAACGGCCGTTCCAAGTGCAAAATTAACACACCCAAAATGCACCAGAACGGCCCGTTCCGGTTTAAGAACAGGCCGTTCCGGTTTTATTTTATTTTTTTATATATAAAATATTAATAATTTTATAAAATATATATTATTAATTATATTTTAATTATGTTATTATATCCAATAAAATAAATATATTAATATTTTTTTATATTTTATTTTATTATGTTTATCTTATTAATTTTTATCATTTTATTCCTTTAATCTTAAATAAGTTGCAAAAAATTATAAAGTGATATT